GGGGGGGGCAAAAGATGGTGAGTGTGTATGAGTATGAGTGCATTAGTCCTTCATTCTACAGCGCAATGCCATTTCTCTTCATACGCCTCCTTTTTTAACTTTCTGTTCTTTCCTTCATTCTCAGAGGAAGTTGACCACAGGTTCTTCAAAGGCAACTGATTTGTACAAGGTAACGTCTTTTATTTTTCAAGAATATTGCCTCTGATTCCTTTTTTATTCGCCAGTTGCAACGACCATATTCCCTGTTCTACAAAGAAGAATTGTGGAACTTAGGTTTATGAAAAAAAGCAACTAGGCATTCAAAGTCCAGCCAAAATGAACCATTTTATGATTTACTCAACTCACAGAAATTCCATACAACCAAACATAGAAAAGTGAAACTTGTCAGTCTGTTCGAGTATGCATTAATTCCAGTAATAAATGTTGGATTTGGGGAATGCCAACAAAAGTGTTCATTTATCTTTCATAAGTAATTGAAAGCTCAAAGCAACAGCTTTAAAATATCAAAGCAAGGCATGTCATTGGTCATTTTTCAGCGGTGATTCACACAATCTAATCTCCCTGTGACAACATCACCACACAGCACCTCACGGAAACCGTGCTGGTCTCAGTGACACAAACTGAGTGTTGTTGTTTTAGTAGAGGTTTTTTACGGCGCTCGCTACTGCATAAGGTCATATGAGCGCTAAGGGGTGGATGTCAACAGAGAAGTCAAATCGGGGAATTAGGCTTACTCTGCTCACCACTCTAGCCTCGATAGCACAAAGTCTGCTTGGACTATCAAGGCACTCCGGAAACAACAGTTCACAAGAGTGTGACAAACAAGCAAAAGAAGTAGAGGAAAAATGACGATAGTAAGGATGAGGAAAGAAAAAGCAGCAGTTCCCCCTCAGTTGTTCTGGCACGGTATGAGTATGAGCATGCGATTGATAAATCAGCCCATTTTTATAATTCTACTGTGCATAAAAGCATAATCTCCCATTTGGGAATGGCCTAAAGGCACTTCAGTCGGTGGCGCCACCTTGGTGGGGAAAAACTGAGAGTGAAGCGACGAGCGAACTTTGCCAACCTCACAGACATGGCACAGTCTTCTTAATTAAAGAGATTAGCCAGCCTAGCTCCTCTCTTGTCCCCCTCAGTCTCTCTTTTTTCTTTCAGAAATTACACACAACCTAGTAGCCAGGACACACAAACACAGGCAAACATGTGCGCATGCACACCACACACACATACACAAACAATTATACCTGACCTTTGTTCTATTCCACACTATTTGCAGCTTTGGGACAACAGGTCGGACCAGATTAAAATCTATTCTCCTTTTATCAGTTCAAAAGCTAAATCAGTCTGTTTTTCTCAGTCAACAAAAAACAACAATAACCCCCCCCCCCCCCACTAGATCTAGAGGCAAGAGGCAAACAGAAGGTGACAATATTGGGTCAATATTTCTACATGCAAAAATGCCCAAAGAGCAACCATAATAATAATAATAATAATAATAATAATAATAATAATTGCATGTATATAGCGCATATCCATGCTCAAGAGCATGCTCTATGCGCTTTACAACTATTATTACCCCAGCAGACCCTCTGAGAACACTCAGAAACATTCTCAGTTTCCAAGGAAGGATACAGTGCAAGCTGCAGATTTCACGCGCTCAAACACTATCAAACTGACAAGATCTTTCACTGTCTATAGCCAGGTACCCATTCCCACCTGGGTGAAGTGAGGAAAATTTGTGCAAAGTGCCTTTAGCAAGGACACAACGTCGGGCCCCTGACGGGATTCGAACCCACGACCTTACAGTTGCGAGTCCGAGAGCCTAACCACCAGGCCACCGACGCCACATTTACTTGTTGTCTTTCTTCTCTTTGTTTTAATGGCTTGGCATAAAAGCCACATCAAGATGAAATAAAACAGGTCAACTTGAACAGGTGTGCACAGGCCAGCCTGTCCTCCCACGATGATCTGCTGACCTAATTAGTAATTAGCTGAACTAATGCACAGATCGTAGTTGATTAATGTACACTGCTATTTTTTAGCTAACGTGGGTCTGTAATGTGCCCCCTCCCAAAAGCTATACCGTCTTGTTCATGCACTGAATGGCTTGTCTATCAAGAGTAAGAGTTGCTTCAATATTTTTACAAAAAGCTTTATCCATGGGTAAAGTAGAGAGAGAAGAATGACTATGATGCAAGGCATAAATCTATATATAGTATATTTCACGTCATCCAAGCCATACAAGGAAAAAAAGAAATTCCAAGTCATACATAATAATATTCAATCTCAGTTCCTCATACTTTGAAGAGAGTACAGAGAAAAAAAAAAAAAGGAAAGAGATTCCAATTGCTGGAATCTTAGTTTCAAATTATACAAGTTCAAGTTTGGCTTGCTCAACTGTAGACTTCTTTAGTTTGGAAGTGTGAACTAAATTCACTACAAGCTATTCAACAAAAGACCAACAAAATTCTTTTGCTTACCATAAAGGCTACAAGCAAGCTCAAAAGGGACAGACATGGATTTTCACTTACCTCACATATTTGTTGAAATTGCAGTAAGTGCATCTCCGCTTGCAGTACGGCCACTGTTGTAGACACAATGTACACTCTTAAAACTAATATTATTTGTGCACACATATGAAAAAATCTTATATTCACATACTGATCAAATGCAACATCAAATAAACTTCAAATAATTGACTTTAATTTCTTTTATAAATCTATGGTTTGAAACCATAATAAACAATGAAGTAACAAATCCCCAAATTCAGACACATCCAACTCATTGTAGAGACTGGCACAGATACATGAATAAAAAAACACACAGATTTACATACAGTAACCCCCCCTCACCCTCCCCCCCCCAAAAAAAAAACAACAACAACAAAACCCCCCCCAAAAAACAAGAGGTAAACCAAGAGGTAAAACCTGGATCTTCTTATTCTTTGTGTTCCCCCTGCTAGATCTCAGAGGTAGTCAACTGGTTCTTCAATTCTGCAGTGCAACTTATTTTCATATAATATGTGACAACGGTTATCTTACTTTGTAGGGCCCCTTGCCTTTGGGCAACTACATTCCGGTTTCGAAAGCACTGTGCATTCTTTAAAACCTGGATTATTACAATTAAACACTCTTAGCTTCAGTCAAGTAGGCCACAAAGCTGATGAGGGAATTCAAACAAAACAAAAATGAGGTTTTATGAAAGTGCCAATGCATAACAATTTTAACGAGGTCCCCGTCTCCCAAAAGTTCCTAGACCAAGGGACATAACCATAAAAATATTGAAGTTGAAGTAACACTACTCATAGTTACTTTTCTTTTTCTCAATATTGTCTCATTACTGCTTCTTCAGCCACACTTGTACAAATGGTCGCTTTTAAGGACAAGCCGGCTAACCCAGATTTCCGGGGTTTCCAGAAATCTTGGTCTACACTAAAACTGGGCATTTCCCTACCTATAGGAGAAGTTTGGTTTCATTGGTATGTATATTTGTTTGGTTATGGAGAAAACTCTCCTTGTCTTTTAAAGAAACTGAACAAGGATCCAAAAACTTTACCTCCGATTTTCTGAAAACAGCATTTTTTGGGATAGCCCCCTTGTGCTTAAAAGCGACCAAAAAACCTCTTACAACTTCCCACTTCTTGTGTAAATGACAAATGACAAATGTCCAAGACATCCATCTGTCTAAGACAACCACCTTTCTCCTCGACAATGGGTGGCCGTCTTGGACAATTTTGACAGAGTATATATGCAAAAAACTTTGTTATATGAGGATGGGATAGCATTATAATTCATTGCCACAGTGAAAGACAGGACAAACCCAAATATTTTTTCTGTCTAATCAAAATAGGCCAAAGAAAAAATCAATGTGAATGGCCTAAGGAGTAATTTAACTGCTTTGATCAAGGAAGTGGATTGAAACAGATCTGAAACTGGGGCAGACGAATGTTCTTTGGTGGGTGGCAGCTCATGGACTGTCACACTTACCGTCCGCAGAGAGTGCAACAAGTAACTTCGGAGAGCATGACACTAGTGACAGTCAACAATAAAGAGCGTGACTGTTAACATCAGATATTGCGACAGTTAACTTCAGAAGAGAGTGTGACACTTAATATTGTAGAGTGTGAAAGTATTACAGAGTTCGTCGTCTGACAATTTAAGTCATAAAAAGTGATAGTCAGTTTTCTAGCATGAAGAAGCTAAAATCAGAACCATGTTCAAATATTATAGGGACACAAACATACAGATAATGTACTCACATGAACATACAGTGAGGCTACAGAGAAACTCCTTGAGGCACTCATGTTTCATCACATGCTGTCTAACTCAAGCAACCTAAGGTCTCCCATAAACTGCAAGAAATAGACAAAAATAAAGCACTACAAATTAAGGTACGGTTAAAATTTTACAACAGTACACTGTCAAAATGTCCAAGACAGCCACCTAGTGATAAACTGTGTCATTATAATATTTTTACAAAGGCACACTTCACTGTACAAAATGATGGATTTATACTCTTTAAAAAAACAACAAATCTTAGCTTACTTTGGTCTTTCTTATTCTTTAAAACATACACGAGTACATTCAAGTGTATCATGAGATAATTCAGGCAAAAATTTTTCAAAGAACCTTCTTTGGAAAACATTCAAGTAGTAAATTCAGCAGATGGCTCTTAAATCAAGGGAGTTGAAATGCAGTACGATACGACCTGGCAGACATAGTTTTGTCACAAGAACTCTACTGTCTGACCTTCTACCTTTGAACACATGTTGAAAAGAAACAAGTTAGTAATGCTATGCTGCTTGCCTGAAAATGATTTCTTATTCAATGCTTTAGATGTTGATGTCATTGTATTAAAATCCAGAAACATTGCAAAGTAAATATTAGTACACACACTTTCATACATTCGTATACTGCATATATACAACAGGATTGAAGTCATCTTCAGCCCACATTACAGTGGAAACCAGACCTTAGGCCTATATAACAGGCCTGGTAATAACAGGGATCCGGTAATAACAGAGATTTTAAAAATCTCTGTTTTTTCCAGCTCTTTTAGGTCTCTATTAAAAGTTACTGCAATAACAGGGCCTCATTGGAGCCCAGTCTGTTACAGCGGGGACAAAGGCTCGTTAACAATGTGTATAAAGTAAGAGAGAGAGAGAAAGAAAAAGAGAGGGAAAGAGAGTAAAGCAGTGATGGAGCAAGCCAACGCAAGCCATGCCACTGCAAGCACACGTAGCGGGTGAAGCGAGAGAGGGCTGCGGAGTGCTGCAGACTTGGGTACTTGTGGCAAGAAAAACTACCCAAGAATACATGCAGCTGGATTAGTCCGCAAATGCTTACTTTCCTAGCATTTCTGATTTAACAGGGATCTGATATAACAGAACTTTTTCTCTGGTCCCACCATCCCTGTTATATCAGGTATTCACTGTACACACATAAAAAATTATACAAAATCATACGACACTATCAGTTTAGTTTAAATATATACCGAAAAAAAAAGGCAACTACATGTACTTCAAACATTGCTGTAGCCCATTTAATCATTCATTGCGTTTTATAAATAGTCCGATAACCTAGTCATATTTAATTTAATATAATCTAAAACAAAACAAAAATGAGGCTAGTCGATGGATCGTGAGGGATAGAATCAATACAAATTTGTCAGTTTGTTATTTGTATTAGAACGCTTTATAATAATAATCGGCTGCTTGCACTAATGCTTCACGAAAAGCTGAAAATAATTCTGAGAGTTCTCAGGCATCTGCTTGGGTACATATATAATTGTTAATTGTAAAGCACAGGCTAGAAATAGAATTTGCTGTTTGAGCAGAAATATAATATGTGCCATACAAATACTATTTTAAACTAGAGTCTAGGTCTAGATCTAGATCTAGATCTAGATTCTATAATTATTAGTAGGCCTAATAAATCAAGTCATTTGATCTGTGATTGCAATACATAATGTTGGTAGGTCTTCTCCCACGCTGAATGATTGCGGCTTATAATATGGGCTTTAATAGCTTAATTAATACCTTAACATACGAAATAACGATGAAAGTGTTAAGTGTTTTCACGAAATCCACAGTTTCTCAACTGAAAGGCTAGGCCTTGCCTAAACCAACGAGAATGACAGCAGTAGCAGTCGGCTCGTATGCCGTATATATAATGTGAAATTATGCGCAATCCGTAAAACAAAACCTTCTTTAGCTCATTGTGACAAATGAATCGAGGGTGTTGGTCGGTATAAAATATCAACCAGTAACACAAGAACTAGATTCTATATCTAGACATCTAGTTCTAGTCTAGATCTTAACTTACTAGGCCCTACACGGAAAAAATTCATTACTGACTTGTCAGACTTGACGTGCTGGTCACTGACTTGACCAATGCCCATCTCCAGGTTTCATTGCCGCACCAAACCGGGGCTATTACTAGAACCATCTCACTTTATCCAACTCTATTTCCCCTCCACATTAATATTCTGATTCAGTTTATGGACATATACGATACTTATTTAGCCATATCATTCGCAATCAAAAATAATTCTTCGCGAGCTACTCAACAATGCACTAAAATTAACATCAATTACTTAGATTTTCCTGACTAGGTAAATGTGATGCCTACTTTTACTTTCGATTGCAGGGGTCATTAATTTGTAACGAATGTGTTCATTGGCTAGAATAAACTAGAACCCCTTAAGTCTCAGGATTTATCGCGAGACGTCGTAAAATTTTCGTTGAATGTTTACATCATGGCGGCCAACATGACTGGAGACGGCAAAGATGACGGAGCTGACGAATCCAAACTTCAGGTCCACGAAACTTTCACGGAACTGGAAGAAGTCAAAGAGTTGATAAGAGGTTTAGAAAACATATACGAGGATTTTATTGAGATGGAAAGGTCGGCAGAACGTTTTCGATGTAAGTATGAGGGCAGTTCCAGCTACTACACTTTACACAGACAGCTAGCTGGTCAGCCTTTTCTGTAGCCTAGTTAAGTTTCCGACAATTTACTGTAAAAAATCAGTGATGAATCATAGAGCCGTTGGCGGAGTTATCTCTTTGTCTGCTCATTATTTTTTTCATCAGACTTTGGACTTATATTATTTCTGATGCAAGAAATGCCTTCTCCGTGATAGCAGAAAAATACCCACAACTTCAAATGAATTATCAAATCTTTTTTTTTTTTTCCTCCGCCTCCGATTCACTTTCCACTTTCCACTTTCAACTTTCCGGACCAGTGGGGAAAGATGAATCCTGAAAATGATAAGAGAATTAATTATAATATTATGAACAATTAATGGAAGGACTTCCGTAACAAGCAACCACCCCACCCAACAAGCACAATAAAGAAGGGACCTAACCGTAGCCCTACTTACCCCAACCCCAAACCCTAATCCTAGTAGTCCTCACCAAATCTTAGCCGTAGCTAGCCTGCCTTAACCCTAACTCTAATGCTCTTTCAATTTCGTAGTGGTCGCTCGTTACGGAGAAGAAGCATTCTTATGATCTTGATTGCTACAGTTGGAATTGTTTCTATAGGCTAAATTTTGCAGGTCGTAAACCCATTGACTTAGACTTAGTGAAGCAAGGACACTGGGTTGACTTTGACTTGCTAAAATTTAACTAGTGTTCTGCCCCAAAACTCTTGCTGCAGTACTTCATTAGTTCACGCCATCAGCTATTACATTTGAATTAAATTTTGCATATATGTTTAAATTAAATTTGGAACAACAACAGAAGGCAGCACAGAGGAAAGCTGAAACGTAAGCACATAGTCCATCAGTTTCGGAAGCTGAATTATCAGCTCACAGTAGATAAAATTTTAGCCTGTGCAATAAAATAAAATTCTTATTACTATACCCTGGTTTATATGGTAATACATTCAACACTGAGCCCTACATTTATTCAAATGAACCATGTAAAAATTGCCACAGGTTGGAGCAACCATAGTCTGTGCTGTGTATGGCAGTCACAGGATAGAAGTTGGACTTTGAAATTTCTTTTACATGAGGTAAAAAAATTCAAATTAAAAGTAAATAGCTTCTCTGCTATTTTAGCTTAAAATGCAGCTTTAAGTATGGCAGGTTTAGCAGAGAGAATGTAATTTCAACAATGTTTTGAGACCCATGTTTTTTATTTCTCTTTAGTCCCTTTAGGGAAGCTGTTTTCTTCAAGACACTCAGTCTTTTGAGGGTAATCTGTGTCACTTGTAATTAGTAACTTGAAAATGGGTATGAATAGTAGTTTCAGTTTTATTTTCTGCAGAGGTGAACAGGTTTTATTTTTGAAAAGGAACTAAAAAAACGTTTTCAAAGAAGAAAAATCACACTCTTGTTTGTTTTGGATTTTTGAAATAAGTATTTGTGTCTAAAATTATGACATTAAATTTTAATTCTCTCTGATTTTAAAAGCAACCTTTTTTATTTTTTATTATCCTCAGTTATCATAGATGATTATCAAGAGCAACCACACTTGATTGATCCATATCTTGGTAAGAGTCTAGGACCAACATGTGTTATTGTTCATTCGTTGATTGCCTCACTCTTTTCATGTATGCATATAATTTTAAACTTTTTTTTGTCAGGGGATTCGGGGCGGGGGGGGGGGGGGGGGATTTTTTGGTCTTTGTCATGATGTATGTATTAACTGATTTTAATATTAGTGATATTCAATGTTATCATGTCAGAAGATTGGCTGAAGGGCTCTATAGCTTATTTACAGATCTTGTTCTTCCCCTCTTCCCTGTCGTGTTGTCTTTAATTTTGATGTTTGGAAAAATAGTATTAACACTAGCCGTGAATGATTTTGTGAATATGCTAAGTATATGTGTTTTTTGTTTGAAAGAGAAACAGCTAATATAATTTGAAAGAATGGAGGGGGGGGGGTGGATAAAAAAAATAAGTCTATTGTATGCTAGTGGTGGAATAAAATACCCATGAATATGTATATTCAGCTGTGCATGATTGACTTTAGTTTGGAGTATTGTCACTGTCTTTTTTTTTCTCCCTTCTTTATCATTTTAGTAGGTGGTCAAGTATTATGTTGTTGAAAAGTGCTTACATCCAAAAGAGCATTAAATATTTATACCCCGATAAGAATAATATTTAAAGTTGGGTGTTCATTTAGATTTCCTGCCTCTTTGAAGTGGATATGTATGATGCTTTGACATATGTAATCTTTATTTATAAGGGGGAGGGGTTAAAAAGAGAAAGCTGAAATGTCTTTGGCAAGACTATCTGTTGATTTTATCATTGTTGTAATGCTTTGCTCTGTTGGGTTGTATTTGATTTAAATTTAGGCTCCGATATCCTTCCATTTTCAATGAGAATGCACTCTTATTTTATACATTTTCAGAGGAGCTGATGCTAATGCTGCTGAACATTGCCAAACAGCCCAAAGCACCACGGCCCTTGACTCGACAAGCTTTCAGCTACCTCTACCTCATCACAAAGGTAGCCTCAACTATAGTGACAAAATACGGCCCTGTTTCCCACTTGTTCATTCCCTTGAATCCTATCTGTGTGAAGATGATGGACTTATTTATTTCATTTAGCTCTTGGTTATGGATTGAAGTCTTTACAAGCAGACAGGAAGAGATAAGCCCACCTTCTCTGTTGTGCTCCCCCCTCCCCCATCCAAATTTCCTCTTTTCTCTTTATTTTTCTATTTCTATATCTCTATATCTGTCTCTCACTCTCCCTTCTTTTTGCCCTCTGTTTTTGTCTTGCTCTCCACCAGCACAGAATGTATGGTATCTTGTTGGTGTGCTTCTTATCCACCAAAACCCAAATGGCCGCTGGATCGGAAAAGTAAAGTAAAGTAAAGTAAAGTATCCACCAAAACTAATGTACATTTTGGAGTGACCAATTTGTTCCAGAAAAATGAATGTGCAGTGAATCGACAAAATTCTGAAATAACTATAGTCATGATTTTAAATGCTGTATGTCCCTATGGGGATTGAAGTGGTGCATTGAAATAGACCAGGCAGTTATTGTGAAGTCAAATGAACCTCTGTGTGTTGGGGGGGGGGGGGGGGGGGGATACATAAGTGTATAAGTGTAAATTAGCAGGTCAGAACAAATTTGTATTCGAAGACCTCCAAGCTGCTCTACTTGCTGAAAGCTTCACAGGTATGAATTCTTGATCAGTTTCTATTGATTTGTAATGATGTAGCTTTAAAAATATGTTCTTTCAGATGCGGGGCTTCAAGCAGGTCGTGCGACTGTTGCCACACGAAGTGTCTGACATGGAGCCGTTGCTGTCTTTGATTGAATCGCAAAACCCAACGGATTATGAGGTAAGGATGGTTGTCATCCTGAATGTCAACTGAGATTGTAAATTTCTTCGAGAAGAGGAGCTTTTCATGGGGAGAGTTATGTCGTTGGTAATTGAAATACCCGATTCCCTTCCAGAAGTTAATGCTGTGTGGTCATCGCAGTAAGAAAATAGAACACTTCGTCATGAAATCTTTAACTGCCAGAGCTGCTGGAGGACACAGCGTATCCCTGTTAAATGTTTATGCACTTGAAATTGTTCAAGGCAGCCATCCATTGTCAAGTGAAAAGTCGTTGTCTTAGACAGGTGGACATATTTTGACAGTGTCATTTTAACGAAGGAAAAAAATACAGGGAGAAGTAGGGCGTGGTTGGTGGGGCAGTGGGAAGTGGTTGTTTATTCAGGTGATTGTCTTTGACGGGTGCCCATTAGACCATGTTCGACTGTATGTCTAGTGTGTGTGTGTGTGTGTGTGTGTGTGTGTGTGTGTGTGTGTGTGTGTGTTGGTGCTCTGAGGTGGTCTGCCCCATTGACTCCTTTTCAGTATTTTTTTTGGTCTGTATTTAGTTCTCTTTCTGGCAAAATTGTGGGGATTTTGTTGCTGAGTAACTGTGGACAACAAGTCAACAATTGCTGTGTTTAAATATCTGTTGTGGGTAGTCGGTGGGTGTTCTTGTATGATCTGCTCCTTCTTTCCTGTCAAACATTTGTTGGTCTTATCTCCCCTCCTTTTTTTAGTATCATCCTCTCTTGTAACACCTGTAATCTTTTACACTTATATGACCTATTTGTATTGCAAGTGCCGTAAAACTCTTTGGCAAACTAGATGTCCGTTGTTTCCCATGTCTTCAGCTGTGGGAGACGCGCTATATGCTGCTGCTGTGGCTGTCCATCGTCTGCATGATTCCGTTCGACCTGAAGCGTCTCGACAGCAACCTCCAGCAGGGGGACGGCTCGGTCAAGATGAGGACCATGGACCGCATCATGGCCATTGGAAAGGTGAGGGGAATACTAGAAGCAGAGTTCTTGTCAGACGAATTTTAGTGGACTAATAATTTGAAAAAAGATTGGAATTGCCGAGATATAGTAATGTAAAGAAGTGTGTTATTGTTTATTTTCAAGATGGCTGCCATCACCATGACAACAATTGATTTATGTCATGAATAACACCTCCAATCGTCTAGCACCTTAGCATTGAGTCTTACTGTACTAAACTCTTTTATAGTGGTCTGTAAATGTAAAAAAAATTTGGGACCTCACCAGACCCATCAACAGGAAACCATCTACTACAAGCCTGCCAAATGCTCAAGGCGCTTGGAAAGAAATATATGCCCAACCCTAGGTAGGAAGACCCAAAACTATAGGAGCCTGGAGAACCTGCTGGCAGCAAACAGCAGCCATTGTACTAGAGACAGAGATGAACAAGAAGAAGCAGAAGACAAGACCCACACCTCCCCATAATGTGCGCTAAATTAACCCTATCCGTACGTCGTGTTTTACTATCGTATCCATATGACGTGGGGAACTCTGTGCCCCCATTTTCCAAAGAGGAAATTTACTCGTTAATCTGATCCATACGCTTTGCATAGCAGTCTGTCAAAATGATTTTTTGGGAAATACTGAAAGCTTTAAAGAGATCTTCGCCGTAGAAGTATTCTAAAATGTGAAGAATACAACCCGTGGTGTACAAAATGACCCCAGGGCGTACGGATAGGGTTAAGAATGTTTTATTTTTCCCTTTGTGCAGATGTACCTGTCTGTGAACGACAAAGTACGCGATGCCGCTGCCTATTTGGTCTCTCGGTTCCTCACAAGACTTGACGTGAAGCAAGAGCTGTTACCGTCCATTCTAGACTGGATGATGAAGATCTTAAAGGATGCTGACCGTAAGGAGACTCGAAGATATGTTGTGTTGGTTGAAGGGGGCAGTTGATGATTGGAGATCTTTGTTGCTTCAGGCAGTTAAAGTTTCTGTTAAAAAGTGGTGTTCCATTCTCAGGATATTTTTCAATACTGCGGTAATGTAAGTGTGCATTCCTGAATCAAGTATGGGGACTTTACACTAAAAAGGGAAGCTTCAGTCAAGTGATAATTCTGGGCTAACGTAATGATGTTCCAAGAACGCTATGTTATTTGACTGGTAAGGCATCACAACGCTGATTTAAACAATTTGGGGACGATTTAAGCTGAAATTGAAATGAATGAATAACATTAAACAGTCAACTGATGTGTTGTTTATGATCACTGTAAGTCCTCAGTGGAATTGACTTTGGGCAGCCAATATTTTGTAAGTTCACAGTTAACAGTTTGGTTAGACACCTAAATATGTGTGCTGTGACTTCTAAAAATTAAAGGATAAAAGACAATGGAAGGGGTCATTTGAAAAATACACTAAGTTACATTAATCCTGCCACGACCTAGCTTATTATATACCGTCTTAATTAATGATGGACATGGTTTGTTCTTAACTTGGTTTTTTTCTTACAGAGATGTAGGCCTAGTTTGTGAAGAATGACTTAGTTGGTTTTTCACCTAATTGATTTCATAAGGGTATTTTACAGGTATTGTTACAAGTAAAGGCTTGTCCTTTGATTTCTTCTTAAAATGGACTTGTCCTGCCTTTCAATTATTGTATCAAATTAATACCATACAATGAAATGTGTAGCATAGTGGGCAAATTAGGCGCTCATGAAAATAATGAAATTGAAGAGTCCAACATTTTTCTGCCCATCAGTCAATTTTTACTTAATTGTTGGGTTATTTTTTTTATAGCTCCACGCTGTTTATGTCCATTTGAGAACGCATTTCTCTGTGAATAATACTGAAAAACATTGATGAAAAGCACCCTAAAAAAAGTTAATTACTAGATTCCAAGAACACTCAAGCTTTGACAGCCACCAAACTTCGGCGGCCATTTTCTCACTAATTTTATCTCTTACAACTGCACCGCCGCCCCGGTCCCCCATCTTTCAATCACAAATATTTCGACTTTTATTCATGATAGATGGGTATGTTTTTTTCATAAAAAATGAGACAAATGAGCCAGCTTTATGATGATACCAGTAATTCCATATACCCAAAACTTTAAGAGCGCCTAATTCCACCACGTTGAGACACAAATCTTTTGTAGATATGATCACTGATATCGTTGTATTTCCTCCCCCCCCCCCCCCCCCCCCCCACACACACACACACAGACCAGACGGTGCTAGGCTGTAACCAGCTGTGTGGGGTTCTGGCCACCTCCGCGCTGCTCTTCAAACACGGGAAGCGAGAAGATCTGCTGCAGTACGGTGAGAGAGAGGGAGACGGAGGCTGTGGGACTTTGGGTGGATGGGGATGAGCTTGGGTGTTGAAAGTGTACATGTGTGTGTTTGTGAGGATGAGCTTGGGTGTTGAGAGTGTACACGTGTGTGTTTGTACTCGTTGTTGTGTTGCTGATATGATGCTTTGCATATGTGTACACTGAACACACACATAACAAAACATGCACATAACAAACATTTTTTCACTGTGTCCTGATTTTGTTGCTGATATTTGTAGGTTACGTAAAAATATGTTGAAATGGTGCAAATTGTTATGTTTCAAGAAGAACAAAACAAGAAAAAACGGAACAAGAAAAAGTGGAATTGTATAGTCTGATGATGATGATGATGATAATGATGATGATGATGAGGAAGATTTTCAGGTCTTAAATTTGTTCTTATATTGTATTTTCTTTGTATCTGTTGTATGTAATAAAAAGATTTGCGCGTCCCGCTGATTTCATCATCATCATGTGCATGCTAGACTGCGTCAAAGATAGTACAAGACAAGATGGGTCACTTCTCTCTTTGAGCCAATTAAAAAAGTGTCCTCAAAATTTGGTGGCGCCCTCTTCACAAAAGCGCACTCTTTGCGAACAGAGTTACCCTACTTGAGTTTTAAAAAATCAAAGTGAAACTAGCAAGTTTTGGGATACATTTCGGAAGAACGCTTTTTAAAAATGGTTACGCTAACAAAAACCTCTTCCGGAGGAAAAGGAGATGGTTTTCTTCGTTTAATTTGACTTTAGAATGAAGGGCGAGAGGACATTAAAATAAAAAAACCTAAAACTCCGCACTGAACGTACCCGAACTGCTGATGAACAGCAGTCGATCTGCGCACGCAAGGAGGTGCTATTCCTATTCTTCTTCTGGAAAAACGAAAGAGAGCTTCAAAACAGACTGCAGCGCCATCTGAAGCAAAGAGCATACTTCCTGTGGACATTTTTTAGGCTGAGTGGCCCATCTTGTCTTGTACTATCTTTGACTGCGTATAAAGTGGTGTCCAAAGGAAACCTGAAAATGAAATCTCCCAATCATCGTGTGAAAGCCTTGCACTACCCTGCCACTCATACAACATACCAATTTAAAGCTAAATAAATTCTGCATCATCTGACGCAGTAATATTTCATTTATGTTGAGATTGACCCGAGATATGTCACTCAAAATTGACCTTAAAAGATTAGATTTGGCAAAATTGTGCGAAATCAAAGAAACATAAAAGTATGTTCGTACACTTGTACTGAGGTGCATCAGCATTCGTGTAATGGACATGCAGTAAATATCAAATAAATTGAGAATAATATTGTCTTTGCAATGAACATCATCTTCTGATGATATTTTTGAATAGATTGAAGACAAAACAGACACCAACACCATGCGTGGGTGGTTAGCGGGTGCTCTGGTGTGGTTTGCTCCTTCTTTCCTATCAAACATCTATCTTCCTTATCTCTCCTCCCCCTTTTTTGTGTGTCTTACTCTCTTGTATCCTCTCTTTTTTTCGGCACTTATATGACTTTATTGTGTTGCAAGTGCCGTAAAACTTTTACTAACACTAAAACAAACACCATGCAAAATCTGGACTTAACAATATTCCATGTCTCTCTCTCTCTCTTGCCCTTTTTAACTCCCAGTGGAGCACAGGCCATCAACAACATTACTCCAGCGAAGCCTGTCCTGAGCATCCTTTTCTATCTGTTTCCATGATGTCCCTGCTTTTTCAATTTCCGCTTGTACCGCTCGCCTCCATGTCATATTCCATGTGCTCTTTAGTTGTTTTTTTCTTAGAATTGTTTCAGCGCAACAAAAGTCCCAAATACTGATGCAGAACACAGTACTACACCACAAATTAAAACGACGTAATAAATGATAAACGAAGACTCTTACCGTTGTTGTTGAGTATTTAATTTCAATAAATGTAGTACATTGTATGTTTCCTGCAGTGAGTCGACCAAGGCTCTGTCCCCTACTCTCTCTCGTCCGATTGTCCCTCGATTGTCCCGCAGAAAGCCGTGACTGACTGATTTTATACACTTTCCTGAACTCTTCTACGCATGATCCCCTCCCTGCACGAGATATCAGTGTCACTCCGCACATGAACCCGCGCCCCGAGGAAATCTCGTTACTTGTGTCCACAACAAGTACCACACAAACTCTGGATTTAACATTCTATGTGCCCATTAGTGTTTTTTTCTTGGAATTGTTTCAGCACCGATTGTCCTGCAGGTGGCGTTGGAGGCCAAGTTGGAGCTGTGCGACAGTTGTGTGGTGCGCAAGATGATGGGGAAGCTCATCCACCGGTTGGGTCTGACCTTCCTCAAGTCTCGTGTGGCGGCCTGGAGGTCAGACAAACGTGTCCCTCGCTAATTAATGCTACATAGTCTGCTTGACAATGTGTAAATAATGAATATATTGATAAATAAACAAATTACATTGTATTGTTCTGTGATGGGAACTTTGGGTTACAAGGGCAAACATACATACTTAAATACATATTTTAACACTCAAATAAACATGCTAAGAATATCAAATGCACAATATTACTCCTATGCTGTACATTCAGGAGATTTTTTTTTTTTGGGGGGGGGGTGTGGGGGGTTGAATGTGCTCAAATTTTGGCAAAAGTGATAATGATAAGGTTCATTATTATACACGAGATGTAATTTTCAAGTGTGTGATGTTGGTGAAAGTAAGTTATTAGTTCCTGATTAATTTATTTTGTCAGTTATGGACTGCTTACGCTTAAGAGTTTATAAAGAAATCAGGAAATTTAACACCTTTAAAATTCATAAAGACTTGTGCCTGTTTTGTTTTTTTCTTCTTCTATTCTTTCTTATCTTTTTTTCCTTTTTAAACGCTTTTTTTAAAAAGAAAAGCCTGTTTAACAATCGTAGCAGTGCTGAAGACAAAAGAGGAAGAGTGCCAGTATCAAGCAGGGAAACAGAATATGCATACCTTTTAAAAAAAAAAATATCTAAAAATTATTCTCTTTCTGGTCTAGGTACCAGCGTGGAAGTCGGTCACTGGCTGCCAATCTGGGTGGGGGCGTGGTCAAGTCCACGGAGGGAGGCAGCAGTGACGTCATTCAGGGTCCGGAGGAAGAAGACGAGGATGACGATGTGCCAGAGGAGATAGAGGAAGTCATTGGTGAGGGAAAAGGACATCAGGAAATAGCTTAACACTATGAGGTCACTTGGCGCAATAATGCGCCGGTGAAAATTATCCATTCCGGTTACCTGTTCATGCAGCAAGCACAAGAAGTCGGTTGCAGTCGCTCTCCTGGCTGGGTGACCAGATGGGGTATTTTGTACCGCTGGCTGCGTGACTGCAAAGTGTTAATGGAAAAATATTGCTTGAATCGTTCCTTTTAAAAGAGTCATAAGACTTTGAAAGGGATGCTACTGCTCTAGAATGAGAAAGAAGATGAGTACAATTCGGATCCCTAAGGGAGGATTTAGATTTGTCTTAGATTTAGAAGCTACTATGTGCCACATAATACATTGTTGTTGAATTTGAAGTTCCCTGTTTTTGAGTAAGGGTTATTGCTCCTTCTTCAAGGGTATGCCCCCTTAAGATCTTTTCAATAATAACAGTCATTCAAACATGGCTGCTTCTTGAATTTCTCTGTGAACCTACAATCACTAACAGCTGGGCCTCTTGAGACGAGAGATACTGTGAAAAAAAAGAGCAAAATTGTACACACTGTAAGGTTATTTTTTAGGCAGGTCCTCCCAATTTAACATCCATTTCCGATAGGACCAAGCCAGATGGGAAAATCTGTGTGAAGTGCTTTCCCCAAAGACACAATGCTTGATCGAGAAGAGCTTCGAACCCACGAATCTGAAATCTCATTATTCATTACTACAAGCCCAGTAGCTTAACCACAAGTTAACGGACGGCACGAGATATTCTGTGGTGGAATATTCACATGTTGGTTTTACAGAGTAATGAGTGAGGGTTTGCTAGTAATTAAATGTAGTTTGACTTTTGTTTACGTTGTGATCATGTTTTTGTTTCATTACGACTTACCAGTTGTGTGTGGCTTTGACTTTGTTTCAGAACACCTCCTGGTTTACCTGAAAGATAAAGAGACAATTGTGCGATGGACAGCTGCAAAAGGGTAAAACCAGAATCTTTTTTTTTTCAGTAGTTTTCTCTATTGTACAATGTATAAATTGTGTCACTCTTGCTCACACTGATGTTGTCCAGAGAGAAGGTTATTTTTTAAAAAAAAGTGTAGTTACTATGTTTGAAATGTTTTATTGTTTATACACATGTTTGATAAGACAGATTTTTTCCCCCTATGTTATATATAGCAAGATATGAAGGCATACTATTCTAAACTCTTCTGAAAGATACATTTCGGACTTTGCATGCTATTAGGTTTTTCAATGTTTTAACATATTTGAAAATGTTTACTTGATATGCATTTACTTTTTATACATGTATACCAGGACGTTTTTTTTTGTATACTATTATACTATGGCAAGTTATAAATCCTCGTAATAAAAAAAGAATTGTTGAGTGGAAGGGGGGGGGGGGGGGGGGGGGAGTGGAGGCGTGTAAGGCTTGTGTACTTCCATGTTTACGGTAACCAGAGAACAGAATGAGTCTTGTGCTCTCCCTTGTGCAGAATCGGTCGCGTGACGGGCCGGCTGCCCCAGGAACTAGCTGACGACGTGGTGGGCTCTGTGCTGGAGCTGTTTAGCTCTCAGGAGACCAACGGGGCCTGGCATGGAGGTGAGGACATTCTCTCTCTTTCTCTCTCATCGCGGGGTGTTGTTGCCACCAACGTGTTTTGCGCCCACATCAACACTATTTAGATGCAGGAAATAAATTCTGTTGTGTTCTCCGCCACTTTTGTGATAGCGTTTAGAATATTTTAAGGTAAAGATCCCCCCGCTAATGACACGACGAATTGTGATTTTCAGACTGGGTATGTATGCTTTTGTTTCACTATCAGATAAATTTTGTATCTACAGTTAAAACTGTCTAAAATGGTCATCCATTGTTGAGGAGAAAAATGACCGTTGTAGACACGTGGCCATCTTACTAGGGGTCGTTTTAATTTTTAAATATACGCAAGGGGGAAGTGAATAGTGACAGTTTGTACAGGTGTTTGTCTTATACTGGTGGCCGTTTGAACAGGTTCACCTGTACTTATTGTTTTGTGTCATTTGTTTCTGGACACCTACTTACATGAAAAATAAAGAAATTTATTGTGGTTTTTTTTAATAAAGCAAATATTTAACAGGAAGAGAATCGGTTCAACTTTTTACTGGAGATGGATATATTCTCTCCCTGTGAAATGTTTGCCTTTGCTACAGTCCCATCTAGTGTGTTCCTGTGTTGCGGTAAAGGAGATACTAGTGGTCAGTGTACTTTGCCTTGAGCAAGTCTTCTTAAATTTATTCCATTAATCCATTTCAATTGTAACCCATGAAAGGTGAAAATGTAAACTGTACGTTGATACTCGAGTATGAAGAAAACAGAACTCCAATACTTTATTATGAAATAGTCCTTGGGTTTTCCATGTTAACGATTGGTTGGCAGGTGCTCTGGTAAGATAAGATATATCTTTATTGTCCAGATCCTGGCACATTGGTTTGGTGTTTCACCACGTGTACACTCACACACACCCACACCCACACCCACACCCACACCCACACACACACACACACACCCACACCCACACACACACACACACACACACACCCACACACACACACATGCACACACACGTAGGCTTACAATCACATGCATAATATAAATGAGCAGCAATATAAACAATAATAATCTTAAGCTAGATACACACTCTAATGTTTTTCTGATGCATGTTCTTAAGGTCGTAAGTATACTTATACAAGATGGTTAAGATGGAAGCATTTTGATGTCTGAAGCCTAGGTCTTTTACTTCTGACTGATGTTTTTATTTGAGGGAACAAGAGATGTTTGTTGTCTAAAAAGATGGAATTATTTTTTAGTGCAAGCTGTTTTGTGTAGTTTGCTCCTTATTTCCTATAAACATCTATCGTCCTTATCTCTCCTCCTTTTTTGTGTTGGATACTCTTTTGTAATAATACCTCTAGTCTTCGGCACTAATATGACCTAATTGTGTTGCAAATGCTTTGAAATGCTAAATAAAACATTTCCATGTTATCGTGGAGTCCATTTTAGTTACAACCGGTATGTTTTTGTTATCTGGAGGAAAGCATCCCGTTGACTTCTGCCCATTGATATGATGTCATGATCTATTGGGGTTTCTGTTTATTTTAAAAAAAATTGATTTAAGACTTAATTGGATTAATTCACTTAATCTGTTCTCTATCAGGTTGCCTGGCCTTGGCAGAACTTGGCAGGAGAGGTCTGCTGTTGCCGGGACGACTCAAAGATGGTGAGATGATTAAGCTCAGCTCTTGGGGGGGATCTGCTTCTTGGGAGAAGAGCAGATCAGGGGGATGTGTGTGTGTGTGGATGGCTAGGGGAGGTGGTTCGTCACTGAAATTTTATTTGGCTGCGGTTCCAGTTTCCAAAGAAATTTTTGGAATCCATGAAATGGGTGATCTTTGAATCCTTCTCGTTTTAAAATCACAGTTTTATGTCATGCTCAAAGACTTTTGCCCATCCTTGATTTATTTCAAACGTTGTAGTTATAGTACTGCATCACTGCAAAACATTTGTAAGACAGTGTGGTGGAATCAGGCTCTCGTCATTTTTTGGGCATGTAGAGTTATTGGTATTATCATCTTAAAGCTTGTTCACTTTTCTTTATTTGGAGGAAAAAAATATCCATTTATCTTGAATACAAGTGGAGATATTTGCGAAAGAAGGAGGTGGGGGTCACTTGTTTTCAGAGGTAAAATTAGTGAGAAAATGGCCGCCAAAGATTAGTTATTTCCTTAGCTTAAGAGTCTGTGGTAACTGAAAATTTACATTTTTGTGCCTTTAATCAACGTTTTTCAGAAAAATCCACACAGAAATGAGTTCTTTAATGGACATGAAAGGTGTTGAGCCAAAAAACAAAAATTTGATAAAAATTCACAAACCTGGGGAAACATGCAAGTTTCTTCACTTTGATTATTTAAACGAGAGCCTGATTCCACCACGCTGCCTGACATTTGTGAATGACATTTGTTTTAGCCCTCTGACTTTATAAGAATGTGTGAGCATGTTCGACTCTGCTCCCTTGTCCCCGCCGTCCTGGTGTTGAGGCCAGATCTTTGGTTTATTCAGGTTCTATTGATGCACTTACCTTGCACAACTTTACATTCCGTCGCTGCAGGATTACTAACAGCGAACTCAATTTCTGTAAATTTTACAGAGGATTGAAAAAAACTGAAAGGCTGAGCCATTACATACATTTTAGCAGTTTAGAATCCAACATTGTAGAAACCATTTGGATAAGTTAATCTGGCTGAAAGTTAATCTTAGGATGTGTTTTATGATGTCAGTGCAAGAGAAAAACCAAAAAACGCATTTTCAGAGCTGGCTGTTTAGAATCCTGCAGTAATGATATTGTACAGTTTTCAGTCTACCAAAGGACTGACGTATGTCTCTCCCAATCTTCTCCTTCTAGTTGTACCAGTGATCATGAAGGCCCTGGCGTACGATGAACGTCGCGGTAACTTCTCCGTGGGTGCCCATGTGAGAGATGCCGCCTGCTACGTGTGCTGGGCTTTTGCCAGAGCTTATGAACCTAAGGAAATCCTGCCCTATGTCAACCAGATCGCCAGGTGAGGGGCCAGACTAGACGGGAGATTTAGATATAATGTAGCTCTCCCCAGTGCACGATTAAGTTGAAGTTGCCTATCTGGTCTTCTACCATTCATTCTTACAGTGATGTAGTTGCAGTAAAGAAAAACAATTTCACTTACTTATGTCAGCTTTGTTTCTGAAATAGTACATATATGTGAGGCAGCGTGGTGGAATCAGGTTCTCGTCAATTTTTGGGCATGTAGAGTTATTGGTATAATCTGAAAGGTTGTTCACTTGTGTTTATTTAGATGAAAAAAATATCAATTTAGCTTGAATACAAGTTGAGATATTTATGAATGAAGGAGGTGGGGTTCACCTGATTTCAGAGGTAAAATTAGTGAGAAAATGGGTGCCAAAGATTAGTTTTTTCCTTAGCTTAAGAGTCTGTGGTAACTGAAAATTTACATTTTGTGCCTTTAATCGTTTTTCATTAAAATCCACACAGAAATGAGTTCTTTAAAGGGCATGAAAGGTGTTGAGCCAGAAAACAAAAATTTGATAAAAATTCACAAACCTGCGGAAAAATGCCAGTTTCTTCATTTTGGTTATTTTGACGAGAGCCTGATTCACCACGCTGCCTCACATATAATCAAATTTGTGGCTGGTTGGCGGGTGCTCTGGTGTGGTTTGCTCCTTCTTTTCTATCAAATAACTGTCGTCTTTATCTCTCCTACTTATTTTTTATGTTTATTGCTCTCTTGTAACAACTCTAATCTTCGGCACTTATATGACCTTATTGTGTTGCAAGTGCCATAAAAACTCTTACGTTAAAAAAACCAACCCCAATTAAAACAAAAAACAATAATTTCTCTTCCTTATGTCATCTTTGTTCCTGAAATAGTACGTATAATCAGATTTGTTTACCTTAAGTGAATGTGTTTGTGCTGGCCAAAGTCTCGTGTCATGTTTCAATTTTTCACCTGACTGACCTTGTTCAAGAGGTCATGGAGCACCTCAAACTTTTTTCAGCTAAATAACTGTAGCAATTATTGCTATCGATACTCCTTGCCCTTTTTTGAAGGAGTGTTGGCTACTTTTACTAGAGATGAAAGGGCTTTTGTGATATAGTTTTTCCCCAAAAGACACTCAGTTCTAAGGGGTGCATATAAGAACGTTATATTCTAACTCGACTGTGGTGCTGTAATGACGTACTTTACTGAACTCTCCTGTTCCACGACTTCTCCAGTGGGTGGTTGGCGGGTGTTCTGGTGTGGTTTGCGTCTTCTTTCCTATCAAACATCTATAGTCCTTATCTCCCCTTCTTCTTTTTTATTTTTGTTACTCTCTTGTAACACCTCTAATCTTCTGGCGCTCATATGACCTTATGCAGTTGTGAGCGCCGTAAAACCTCTACTAAAGCTAAAACTAAACTGTGGTGCTGTTATGACGTACTTTACTGACCTTCCCTGTTCCACGACTTCTCCAGTTGTCTTATCATAGCGTCCGTGTTTGACCGAGAGGTCAACGTGAGGCGAGCGGCAGCGGCAGCCTTCCAGGAGAACGTGGGCAGACAGGTGAGGACACTCGGCTTATTGTGTTTGTTGAGAAGTAATTTTCGGAAAAATTTGGCCTCCCGTATGAGGCAGTTAGCGGTTACAAGAAAGTTGTTTTTATATATTGTCATGCTAAAATGATGTAACTGCTTTGAGGAAAAAAAAATGATCAGGCAAAGAATATCCCTGCTTGAACTTTATTTCTAGATTTAATTGATAACTAAATAAGTATTTTAACTGATGTCAGTATCCTTATCATGAAAACATTTTTTTGAGGATCTGCAGACCAACATCTGAAATGGTCTTATAACAATAATCTACTTGACATATTTCTACCATTTTCATGGTTAGAGCATATTATGACTATCGTTATATATTTGTACCATTGTTTTGTTTCCTATTTATAGATTTACCTTTTGCATGTGTCATAACCTTTTCCAATACAAAAATCCATTGTGTATTGAATGTGTACCCTTCAACCCAGACCCTGAAAGTATTTTCGATAGGGTCATCTGGTATTTGGGGGTTCGGGGGGTCTAGGAAGGTCTTCAGGGGGTAAATGGATACGAAATCTCAACGAACTAAATAATGCAAAGATGGCTGAATATAGATATTTCTCCTTAGAGAATTTGAGAAATATAGTTTGAAATTTTTGCTTTTTTTTAAAATCCTGAGAACTTTATTACTATACATTAATTGAGTTCTATTATGATCTGTCATATAAAAGAATTGTAAATGGCATTTATGAATGAGAAGTATGAGATACCAAAATTCATGAAGTAAAAGTAATTTGATAAAGGTGTTTGGTCTGTTGTTTTTCAGGGAACGTTCCCTCATGGTATAGACATTTTGACCACTGTGGACTATTTTGCCGTGGGCAACAGAGTACGGTGCTTTACAGAGCTCAGGTAAGGCTTTGTAGATACGAAGAATCTTGCAGTGCTTTTGCGGATTCTTTCTTTGTCTATACTTTATTTTACTTTACTTTTCCGATCCAGCGGCCAATTGGGTTCTAGCTTTTCGGTCAGTCGATATGGCAAAGAATTTACTGGTTTTAATCAGCTGTGCTTTGTCGCTGTATAGAGTATTTCCGATGTCTAGGGAGGCAGGTAGGTAGGTGCTACGCAGGTCGCAAAGTGCAGGGCAGTTAAAGAAGTGGTGTGGTACTGTTTCATCCTGGCAGTCGCACAAATGACAGTCAGATTGGGGTATCCCTGCAGTTCCTATTAAGGTAGGAATTTAGTGGGATGTGTTGTGTTCGCTTGCGAAAGATCGTGACTTGTTCTCTTCTACTCAGGGAATTTAGTGCATCTTTTGAGTTGGGGGCTGTCATGTGTGCAAATACAGTTCTTCCAGTTTTGCCCATTGCCCATCCATTCAGCCACTGTTCCCTGGTGTTGCATTTGATGATGTTCTTTGCTGTCTGTTGTGATACTGGGTTGTGAGGTTGTGTTTGTGATGCTCCCTTCTTGGCAAGGGTGTCTGCTCTGTTCTTAGTCCATCAATAGCTGTTATGTTATTTGAAAAATGTGGAAAGACGCTGATGGATCTAATGATTAGACTGTCAGGACGTCCCATCCCATGAGTAAGACACTGGTCTGACAGTTGTAAGATGATGACTGGTTTTGATAAAAAAAAGTCTGAGGGGTGTCTTTCTTACAGACAAGTCTTTTTAGAGTTGTAGTGTACTAACACTCTTTGGATTGTAATTGATGTAAATGGGGAAGGGGGGTGGGGGGTGCGTGGATGCAAGATTATTTTGTAAGTTTTTTCAAGTTCTTTTTGTAGAAGCAACAAAGGCAGTCTCATCTCAAAATATTGGGCAGAAGTCTTGCTAAAATAGCTATAGCAGAATGAAAATTGCTTTGGTATGTAAGGTTGAACAGGCGATATTGTATGTTCTGTCAGTGGGTCGTTGGCGGGTGCTCTGGTGTGGTTTGCTCTTTCTTTCCTATCTAACATCTATCGTCCTTATCTCCCTCTTTTTCTTTTTTTATGTTTGTTACTCTCTTGTAACACCTCAAATCTTCTGGCGCTCAAATGACCTTATGCAGTTGCGAGCGCCGTAAAACCTCTACTAAAACTAAAACTAAACCGTGTGTTATGTCAGTGAATTAATGGTGTTAAGTACAGCTCTTTCTGACGTGTGTCTTTCAGTGTGTTCATCGCCAACTTCCCCGAGTACACGCAAGCTGTGATAGATCACCTGGCAGAGGTCAAGTTGGCACACTGGGACAGGTGAGTGTGGAATGTCACTGGTGTAGATGGGGAAATGTGCTGTTGTGAGGAATGTTGATTGGCCGGAAAAATGTTTTTAAAATGCTCTACCTCAAAATTAGATGTATAAATATGTGTGTGTGTGTGCGTGTGCGTATATGTGTGTTTGTATTTATGTGTGTGTATGTGTGTGTATTATATTTGTGGATGTATGTGTGTGTTATATTTGTGTGTGTGTTTGTGTGTACTTTGACCTTGAGCACAGATAAAAGTATCTTGTATATTAAAATCCTGTTGTCACAAGAATATGTGACCTTGATTACTGTACTCGGGCATGCTGGATGTAGCATAATGACCAACTGCATTCTTATCACTCTCTCACAATACACTGCTCTCCCCCCCCCCCCCCCCCCACCCCCTCAATCCCCCTCAATCCCCAAATACCCCAGTCCTTCCATAACTCCATAACTCCCTGTTTTGACTTTGTTCTCCCGAATTATGATTTATTAAAACTGGTGAAAATGGTTCAATCGTCTGCGAATGTTTTTTTCTCCGTGTTTCAGTGCTATCCGTGAGCTGTCGGCCCAAGCTCTCCACAACCTGACCCCGTGCTCCCCCGACTACATGGCCGCCACAGGTGACTGGATGCTCTTTATCATTTCTTTGTTCTGTAATGATAAAAATAGCTCCCCTCGGGGCGGTGCTATTGACTGAAGTGTGTTTAGGCCATTCCCAAAAGGGGAAAAATTAACCTTGTTCTTATGCACAGTAGAATTGTAATTGTAAGTGGGCTGATTGATCAATGTCATGCTCATAACTGTGCCTGAACTGCAACAGGGAACTGTTGCCTTTTCTTTCCTCATCCTTACTATCGTTATTTTCCTCTACTTCTTTTGTATGTTTGTTACTCTCTTGTGACCCCCTTTTTTCGGGGTGCCTTGATAGTTGAAGCAGACTGTGTTGTTGAAGCTAGAGAGGTGAACAGAGTAAGTCTGATTCCCTGTAAGGACTTCTCTGTTGACATCCACCCCTTGTTGCTCATATGACCTTTTGCAGTTGCGAGCGCCGTAAAACCTCTACTAAAACAATAATATTAGCTCATCTGTCAATGTCTGACTATGGCCAATACATCCGCAGGGGAGAATATTTCTCCAGTGAAATAGAAGAGTTGGAAGAATAAAAGGTTGAGATGACTTGTGGTTTCTCCTGTCGTGTATGAGACAAATTCTGGTAGTAAAAAAGTTTGCTACATTTTGAAGTTTGACTTGCACAAAGGTTTGTTTAAATTGAGAAAGAGTAACGCAAATGTCAGACTCACTCTCTCGACTAGGTAAATAATAATAATAATAATAATAATAGATAGCATTTGTATAGCGCATATCCCCGCTCAACAGCAGGCTCTATGCACTTTACACTATATTAGGTACAATGTTTCTGATGGCAAGGTTGTTCAATATTTTCTTGTAAATTTAGAGACTTACAGAGTTGGGCTGTTTGGACCCTGCTTGCCCAGGCCAACTAGGACTGTGTGGGATAATAGTTGAAGGTTTTTGCCTTGCGTATTAAAGATATGAATTCCCTTCTTGTTTACTTGTGTGAAGGACCGACATCTCTGCACAAGGGGCCAACCCATAAACGCTCCATCCCCTGAAGAAGCACATCTCGAAGTGTGTAGATGCTGACGGTTCCAAGCAATGGTTGATTCCATAGCCTTCTGCTCCTCCCACTAAGTCTTGAACTTCTGCAGGCGCCCCATCCAATTTCAAGTTCACGAATATGAATTCCCTGTCTTGTGCTAGCTCCTTGACGTTAGTCCATGTTTTTCCACTTCTCTGTACATCATTTTCTTTGACTCTTCTCCAGGTTAAAATTGTAAGTTCTTCTGTGAAGACAGAACAAATGAAGAAAACTCTTTTTGTTGAAATACAATGAGAGAGAGGACATGAAGGGATTTACTTTAGCAACTGATTCTCTTTCCTTCACAAGCAGATATTGGGAGTGCTTAGTTTGAGATCCCCTTAGAACAAAGCCATGTTCAAACACATAGTTTACAGGCACATGTGCTGTTACGATCAGGCGCTTCACTGTTGCATGCAGAAGACCCAAGTAAAATTTCCGAGTGGGGATAATTTTTATCGAGTATCTCGGTCTTTCTACTTTGATGTTGTATCCTCTCAGCCCAGAAGCATGCCTCCTAAATGATCTAAATTGTGTTGATGGAGGCTTAAAAGCACCTACATTTGAAAATTTCAACAACAAAAAATTCTTAATCTGTATGACAAGGTTTTATTTCCTTGTTTTCCAGTATTACCCAAGCTCCTCCCCCTCACATCTGGACTGGACTTGTTTCAACGGCACGGGGCCATCTTGGCAGTCGCTGAAATTCTGCACGCTCTGTACCCCATTTCACAAGCAAGGAAAAAGTGAGTTTTCTGTTCTGACTGAGCTGGTCTGCCTTAGAAATAATGGTAACCCAATTGATGGGAAACTTTTCACATGTTTGATTTTGAACATTTGCATCATTTATCACAAACAAAGAGTATTATAGTTTATTAAGAAATTATTGATGTTCTTTCTTGCCACGATACCTTACTAATAAGTGATGTCAAACGTTTTCAAGTGTACTGTTGTTTAAGTGGCTGTCTATGATTGATCTTTTCATCGAGTTTGTTCTTTACCTCATTTAATCCTTGAATAATTTTCTAAAGATCCACAATAGGAGGACATTGTTGGTTTCAGTTCAGGTTATTTAGAACAGTTTGAGGTTGTCTGAGAGCCTGCAAATATGCTTGGAATTAAGATTAACTAAAAAAGCAAACCACTCAGAACATCTAAATGTTTGCTGACATTTTCCATTTTTTCCGCAGGTCTTTAGTGGATTTGTTGGATGAGAACTCTCTAGAGGAGGTGCAGTCTGTCTCGAAAAAGGTAACTGCTCATCTCTCACAACATCTGAAAAACATTGAAAGAGCTGAGGAGTTTTAGATGCAAAAGATTCATGTTTCAAGATTATATGGACTTGTTTGAAATTAGCCTTGGGGGAAGGGATACAAAATTATAAACCTAGTGGTTATTTATTTTGTTCGGTGCAATGATGCGGCGGTGTATATGAGAGCCAGAGATCATGAGCTTATCTTAATGACACTTTAATTGTATATGTCTTCTTCTTCCTCTTCTTCTTCTTCTTCTCTTCTATCCCGTGGTTGGGGCAACCGTTGGGCACCACTGCATTTGAAAACCAGCTCTCGCCATGTATTTTTGTCCTCTGCTTTCCTCAGATTGTCACCCATCGTCTTTCCTGTCCACTCTGTAATGTTGTCCTCCCATCTCCTTCTCTGCCTTCCCCTCTTTCTCTTTCCTTGTATGGTTCCTTGCAGGATTGTTTTAGCAAGTCCTGTGGATCCTGTGACATGCCCATACCATTTTAGTTTTCGTCCTTTCACTGAATATATATTCATTGTATATGTACTGTAGAATAATATTTGTCCTCTATTTTTTTTTTTTTTTCTTGTTGGCAGTTTCAAGAAAACTTACCCAAATGAATGTATGCTTTAGGACCATGCCAATATTTCTTTAAACACTTTTGTTGTGTTGCTATCACTGATAAATTTGTACTTTTTGAAGACCCAGGGGAATGTCAGCTCACTTAGATTATAAAAAATATCTTGTTTGTGAATCAGTCGTCCTGTTCTTATACATTGTTCATTGAAAGCTGTGTATTTAGGTCATGATGTTTGGAATGCAATACGAAATAAAATTTCTGTATTTTTATTCCAGCTTCAAGATGCCAAAATGTTCAAAAGACACGGGGGAGAGTACATGCGTACCGCAGGTGAGGTTTCTGGCTGCTGTTCTTTCTGTCAAATGTTCTATGCTGGCCTCCC